ACGTCACATTCACAACGCAGAATTGGGCCAGTTGGTTCCGCCATTTCTGTCCCCCGAGCGTATTTTCAAGAAATTATATATTAGAATAGTTGTACAGGGCGTTCAATGATCGAGGAAACCTGGTAGCAGCGTGGATCGGGCACAACATTTCTCACTGATTGCTGCTGTAACTGCCGATAGCAAAATGAGTCATAAGCGCTGATAAACGCGAGCAATCTCGCTAGCGTAGAGTGGATGGAAAGTTTCCCTGCGACTACTGTGCCCTTCCCCGATAGCGAGAGTGCAGTCGTGCCGCTGATCCCCTCACATCATTTTCTGTAAATGCACATATTTATAAGAATACCGCAAAGAGATAACACAGACTTTCCGTGCTTTATAACAAGTGCTGAAAGTAGGCTCCTTCGGCTTGCAAACATGCGACGAATGGCTTAAATACATTATGCGACAATTTATGAAGTTGGTCCACGGCAATTGAACCAATTACGCGTGTTAACTTCATTCTGTAGAACTTCAGTGATGCGAGGAATATTCTTGTAGACTTTTGTTTCTAGGTTTCCTCAAAGATAAAAATCGCAAAACTGAGACCTGGGATCTGGGGGGCCACAGACCCCCACTGATTATTCTGCCTTCAAACACTTCCCGTGTTGCGACCATGGTTGCATCAGCCGCATGTGCTGTAGCGTTGTCTTACTGAAAGTACCCGTACTGTCTGTCTTCAGATGTCAGGTGATTGAAGAACGGATTCAATACAGCATTAATGTCGCGGTCAGAGTTCACGGTGCTGTGGAAAAATAAGAGGCCACTGATTTGCCGCGGACTTACAGCACACCAAACCCCCACCTTTTCGCTATGTAATGGCACTTACTGTATAGAGTGAGGACTTTCATCGCTCCGTATTTTTACTTTTTGTGCATTGACATGACCACTGACATTAAACTGCGCTTCATCAGCCATGAACATAAGCTGTGGATCCACGATCCCATCGTGCACATTTTGCAGTAGCCAGTTGCAAAAATTAATTCTTGCTGCATAATCTGGTTTTTTCAGGTCAAGCATAAATGTTGTTTTATACGGGCGAAATTTGATTATTGTGGCAATGTTATATTTTAGCATCCTGTTACACTGATTCATGTCCATGGTTTATGCTGACCGTCTTACAGTGTATACACTTTTTCACCTTATTCTTCACTTCCACACTACATGTTTCAGCACTAATGTGCCATCTCCAGGTGTCTTTATGCACGTTAAACTATTGTACTGCATGCCATGTCTTCATTCTAAAATGACTAAAATCTGTATTCGTCATATAGGACGATGAATTCTAAATAATAAAACTTTTCATGATTCTTCCTACGTCGCACTCGAACACGCGAATTACGCCAATCATCTTTTATGTGAGCATTCCTCCTACATATATTTGTGTATCGTGTTCTGTGTTGTGTTTTGCTCCTGTTACTACGCTGTTCAATAGTGAACGCACTTATGCAGCGGATCGAGGACCTCTGTCGCCAGGTGGCAGCGCTGAGCACCGAGCTGACTCCAACTTCAAGAACCTCCGCTCGGGCAGCAGATCCCCTGATTCTCATGCTAACATACCCAGCTAGTTTCCCGTACTTATACCAACCCTTCTTAGGGTCCTTGGTTCGATCTGTGAGGAAAACTTGCAGTGGCCATCATAAGGCTAAGGTAGAAACAGGTGTAGCAGGGATAGCGCAACTGCGACTGAGCTGATATTACAAAGACGGGTTGGAAAAGAGCGGTGTTAGTACTTGAAATTTTAACCGAAAGATTCAATTTGTGCATTTAAGAACACTCAAGTTCAAAATAAGGAACTTCATAGAATATTTAGATGTAAATTATTATATACAATTCAACAATTGCGTCTGGTATCATTGTTCGCCTGATGATGACCCAGTATAAGGGTCGAAATACGTATGTAGCGTCAATAGAAACAAATGTTGATGCGATAGTGTCTACTTTTATGTTGGAACAGAATATTTTTGTGAAGACTGCATATTTGGATATTTATTTTATGTACCTTGTTTACGATACTCAACAGGATGCATACAATTAAGACGGTCGGCATACATTCACGGAATAATAAGTAATAAAAGTAAGTTCAAAGTGTTCTTGTTAAACCAAGAAAACTGTAAGGTCAGAAGTCGCGTTTTTGTCGAAAACGTGTCATTTACATATTTTCCACTTTGACGGGTTCTTTATCTATGAGTTATCGCTGAAATATTCATGTTGTGTGCACTTGTTGGTGTATGGAGTACTTGCTAAGTGTCTTTCCCCGTTTCAAATATACGTGTATGCTGACGTGATAGGGTGATTACGGGGGGAGTTTGGTTTGGTGACTCGATTTATTGACCACTTATATATACACAGACACAACTCGTGACTACAGTTTATAGATCCCTGTCTCATACACATAGACTAATGTCCTCAGCCTATTACAGTTCCCATTAGACGTTGCCTGGTAACTGCTTTCGACGTCGGACTTTCCTCTAACTCTGGGTTCCCGAAATGTCCCCGTGACTCAGCTACCAGATTCTAACAGCGACGGTTCACGAGGAGAGAATTGCCCTTCTCTGACTGACTTGAAAGCTGGCGGCCATCTTACTCCAACCAACTAGTCTTCGCTTCATATACTAACAGCGAAGCTGTCAAAGTAAAAGTCAAAGTCACGTTGCGACTGACGGTCAGTCAGTCGGTAAGACTTGGTGTCGAGCCCCCATCTGGGGCTCATGACCATATATTAATTATTACCGTTTGACAGTTATGGTCTTGTTTCTGTGGGGCGCCCTCTTTGACGAGAGAACGGGTCTGTCTTTCGTATATGCTGCTGGCCCTTGCCAGGGCAGTCTTTCTCGGATCCGAGTCCCTTTGGACTCGCGACTACATTTTACTCTCTCAGATTTGAGACTTACCTTCTCGTCGACTTTTACGACTCGCAGGGTCACTGTGGAGGTATTCGACCCCGCCTCCACACGAGGTCAAAGAAGCTGTAAACCTCGTTTCGCTTATGACCCCTCGGCACGGACCACGTAGAAAACAGCTCATTCATTTTTGCCCGTACCTGTCCGCGAAGACGTCACGCAGCAAAGGCCGCTTATAATTTCTTATTGAAATACTGTTGCGTAGCAGCGGATGTTGTTTCGTTGTCTCTTTCGAGGTCGCTACCCGGCAATGGCTCTACACACTAAAATATGTTGGGCAAATTTGGTTTTTTTTTTAGTCTTGTGTAGTGAATATGTTCATTGCATCTACTGTTTAAAATTCTCACGGTTTCACCTATATATTATTTAGGAGGAGCATTGTTTGGCAAGAAACTTAGTACATGCCTTGCTATTGAATTGATCAGATGTATTGGGGGACAGTTCGGGAACCCGGAAGAAGGGACTGTCGGCAGTTGAAAGTCACTACGAAGCAACGGCTAATGAAGGCTGAGGATAATTTGTTTGTGCTGTGATGTGTAACTAAGTGAGAAAATTGTAGCTATTAGTAGTTAGGTTCTGTAATTGTCCAATAAATCCAGTTACCAATACGAACCGCGTCTATAGACACTATCGCGTAACAAAAATATTGTCACTATTAGGAGTTGGTAGAGATCAGTGGGTATAGCGACGTGCTACGGTGCTGGATCGGCAGAGTTCGTTCCCCGGCATGAGCAAGAGGGCTGGGCATGATGGTTATCACGTCGGTCTACTGCAGAGATCCAGAATGGTGGAGCTACAGCTCCACACCCCAAAACGTCTTCATGATGTGATGATTACTTTATTAAGCTCAGTTACAACTTTACTTTTTTTATATATATTGTGACATGCTGCGCAACGAAGGACCCCTACCTCCCCAGCGGCACGTAGCGGTAACGTAGCGCTCGCGTAATAGGCGAGTCATCACCCCGCCATTCTCCCCGCGGTGACGTCACGAGCGGAGACGATGTGAGCCGAGCGGAGCCGAAGGTAGCCCAGTTCCCGCAACTGGTAGCTATGCAACGCGAGTCAACAGCGATGACGTCACCAAGGGTACCGCGGGTTGCTAGGCAGCGCGGGCAAACAGTTGTTGCGAGAGACGACGGTAGTAACTGCGGTAACAGCGTTGATAGGCTATACGCCACGTCACAACTAGCAACAGCGAACGGAATAAAAGCCGGCTGAGCAGCAAGCGAGAGTCAGTTATAACGTGGCCATCGCCGAAGATAGTTCCGAGCAAGCCTACGAGCTAGTGTGTTATCAACAGTTCTCAAGGTAGCAGCCTGCGAGTGTGCGATAACTAAGAAGTCAGCGAGCGGAAGACTTATTGTGTGCTTTCGAGACTTAGTGAGTGCTGTAGTACAGTTATATTTGGAGTGTGTAATTCAGGGAGATTTGTATAGCTCCCGCGTTATTAGTACGTGAAGATTTTGGTTGTAGGGTTTGTAAAGTGTGGAAACCCGCAACTGTGTTATAATTAATTGTAGCCGATATTTGTAGATTGTTCAATAAACCAATTAACGATCTCTACAGCGTATTCAGTAACGAAACACGTTACAATATGTATATTTTTTATATTTGTGAGAAACTTATGCAGGGTTCCTTGTAACTCTGTGGGGATTGTTTCTCCGTAAGTTTATATATATTTCACCATCCTTGAAACGTTTGCCGGGCTCTCGAACATTTTGTGCACAGTTTGTAGGCCTATGTTTGCGTATGATCTGCCACCTTACGAAGTTCCATGTGCCTAGCCCGACTGGTTGATTGCGTGCTGCCGCCTAAAGAGTTCATGCGTCCGCCATGTTACCATTTGTGTGTTAATGATTACTGATATACCAGATATTGTGAAAACTGATCAGTTTTAGTTGAACGGGGCACACACTGACAGGTTGCACATCTCACAAGGCTGTTACCTGGGACTCCGAAATTAAGGGAGATATATCGCAATTTCCCTATGAACTTGGGGAAGTTTTCATTTTCAGTGGACACTTTTAATTCGTCGATATTTTTAAAGTGAATTTTTACAATTTTGTGTTTTGGACTTGGTTGCGTCGATGAGAATTCTAAAATACATAAAAGAGTGACCTATTTTTTTTTTAGATATACTTGTCCGTTACTAACCAATATTTTGTATAGGTAAGATTCTGTATAAAGTCTTGTTTAAATATACTCAGTCGTTAGAAGGAAGCGCTACAGTTCCTTTTCATTTTCTTCTGTACAGAGCGGCGTCTCTTCAGTTTCGTCGTCTAGCAGATGCGCTTCTTCTTCAGTCACTTCCTTCACATGACCCCATTCTGCATGGGTACCGTCTCCTCTTCGCTGCACAACTTTCTGGATCATCCTTGGAGAAGGCTGCTTTAAATCGTAAGCCCAACCAATAAGAGCGAAGAAGTCGATAAATGCTGTTGTGATGTTCAAACCATAGTCACCCAACTCGGCTGTCTTGTAGTCCCAAGGAAACGTGTGGTGGTAGTTGTGCCAGCCCTCACCCAGAGCTATCGCCGACACCACGCGGTTCTCTGCGGGCAATATTTTCCTGAAACAAGTTCGGTTTTTTTTTTACAGAAATTAACGGTTTTTAATTTTTCATGTACTTGTTACCTAGTGTAAAAGTTGCTGTTACAATTAAAAACTGCATTCTGCCCACACAGTGTATTTATGTGTTCCGTATGGTTCTCACAATAAACAACGACTGTTTCCCTGAACAGCATTAACCGGTTGGGCTTTGTAGCGGAAATGTGTTTCCTGTGAGGTGCGAACTGAACTCTGCATTCTGCCCACACAGTGTATTTATGTGTTCCGTAACAGAAGATCGCATTAAGTGGAGGAACTGTTTTGAAGAGACTGTGGACCTGTCGTCTGACAGATTACTGATGAATGAATGGTTTCTGACAATAAACAGCGATTATTTCCCTAAACAGCATTAACAAGTTGGGCTTTGTAGCGGAAATGTGTTTCCTGTGAGGTGCGAACTGAACTCTGCATTCTGCCCACACAGTGTATTTGTTTGTTCCGTATGGTTCTCTCATTAAACAGCGATTGTTTAACTAAACAGCATTAAACAGTTGGGCTTTGTAGTGGAGATGTAATGTGTTGTTTCCTATGAGGTACGGCATAAATTACACTGCATTTGTCACCAGTCACTTTATATGTGTCGTTTATCTTTTTCTACAGAGGTTTCGAGTTTCAAAAGGGTTCATGATTGGTCTGTGCATTATTGCAATATTATAACTGAAGGCTGTCATTAGCCTGTTCGCAGTTAGGCAGCTGCTAGTGTTCGTGTGTTTACCTGTCATATGGATGGTATCCATAGAGATGTGCGAAGCTGTTCACTGACCATATACCATTAAGCGTCAACACCCAGCGAAAGATGGTACAGAACGTGGAATTCCACCACGTCTCATCCCAGAGGAGACACGGCACAGCAATAGGAATCAGGAAGGTGAAGGTCAGAATCAGTGGAAAGAAGAACCTGTAAGCAAAATGGAGTAAATTACGTTCCAGTGAGTTCAGCGCGAAATGTCTCTGACAAGGTTGACCTCCTGGCCTGTGCAGCAGACATCACTCTGAAATACCAGTGGACCAAAGTGCTGTCTGCTTTGTCGGTAGGGAGTGAACCAGACTCCACTTTTACAATGTGTTGAGCTATTGAACCAAACTGTTTTCAGCATTCCTGTCGGACGAGTAGACCAGACAGCAAACTACGGTACTGTAGGATAGCTCCGTCTTGCTGAACGTTGCTTCACAATCGTTTTCGTTTTAGTACGTGGAGCTCATCCCCCAAATCAGACTCACCCTGTATATCGTCGGATAGTAGGATGAGCGATAATGGGAAATAATTTTGAAGGAAGTGTTCGTGGTCTATTGAAGAAAGCTACTATCACAGCATTACTCTCAAGGAGTTAAGGAGAATTACGAGAAGCCTGAGTCAGGATGGCTAGTGCTCTGCCGGAGATTCGAAGCAAATACCGCTAAATACAATGCTACAGCGTTACTTTTATCTAGATGAGCCTGTTCGGTGGTAAGAACTAAAGAGTGCAGGAAGGCTGATCTCAGATACTCAAGGCGATAATAAGAATTTTAGTGTCTTTTTGGTTGTGACACCGTGTAGTGTTGTTTAAAGTTTATAGCGGGACGGATCGACGCTCTCTCAGTATCCGTATCACAATTATATATGCTCGGCATATTGAACTCTGAAGACGAAGGCAGCAAGTTGTTCCGAAAAGTTAACTTTTATAGCAGACATCACGGCGTCCCTACGCCAGCGGCATTAACATGTATGTATTGTGGCGAATAGACCCATTGCTAAGCGGTGATTCTGTAAACAGCGGCCGTTGCTAGGTAATGCACCTGACGATAAAACAACGGAGTTATGCAACCCGTTTCTAAGCAAAGGCTTAGTAAACTTGTTCCCGCGCAAAGGATATCCGAGCTATTGCTAGGCAACGTTTCGGTAAACAGGCCTACGTGCATTGTGTTAAGCAGCGGGCAGCGTCGTGACCACGGAAGCAGAAGAATCTCCACTGTGTTAAATCCGTTGCCAAGAAACGGCTAGTGAAACCTGTAATAGACTCGGGAAACTAATGTACGTAACAGTGAACTGTACAGTGTGGAGATTAATGGTAGCACTGAAATTGCCTGTAGTTTCGAATGGTCTGTGTAAGTGGCAATGAATGCAATGAGTTCATCCAGACCCCGTCTAATAGTCACCCCTTTTTAGGAAGGTACGTTTCATTAAAGTAATTTGGAGCGTCTGCCGTACCTGCGTGTTACACCGTGGTGACAGGGGGGCGTGGAGGTACTTCACCGCTGTCACAGTATGTTATGGCGCGAAGGGGGCGTGGAGGAATCTCTCCACCTCTTCCGCCATCCATGCCGTTGCGCCCTTGGGGAAAGGCCAGTTGCAAGGCTAAGCACTCGGTACTTGACTCGTTAACTACCTCTTGGCTGTGAGTTCACAGTCCCGATAACGCAGGGAGGTACGGGAGAACGGGGGATTAGAGGGTGTGACTGTGGGGGTAAGTCATTAACACCACACATCCCCTTCACTCGGTCTACTCGTCTACTCTATATACACTTATGTACATCACACTTTGTAGCCGACAGTCGTCGGTTATGTACACATTGTAATTTGAATAAGGATACTCTTGGGTTCACCATCCTACGTTCCCCCTCTCTGACCTAACCCTGCACATGTCACTTTAACAATATCACACTAGATATCCATGACTGGTATGAACAGTTCGACTTACTTGGTGTAGGAAGCTGATGGTGTCCCCTCACTTGGTCTGGCACGACCGTGGCTCAGGTCCTCTGGCCTCTGGTTTGCTATTCACTTGACATTATACACTCAGATAGATTGACAGATTGAATGAATATTCAATCGGTGATCCAAAGATGTGATCCCCAAAGATAGCTCCTCCAGTTGTGTCAGTTTCTTTATAACTTTCTCCCTGCTGACTCCTGTCTTTTTGGGGCAAGCTCCGCCCCTGCACTAGAGCGAATTCTCCCCCAAGTCCGTCTCTCGTTGGTCAGCTGGATAAAGGGGGTTGGATCCTCTCGGGTCGTCTCGCTGAGTTGACACTCCGTATGCCTTGGCCGTCTCTGGTTGTTCCGCATGGATCAGCGGTCTCTGCTATGTGACAATTTCCCACCTACTCTGTGGCTTCCTCATTCCACTTCAAACATTAACCCTTCGGCTAACTTCTGTTATGGTGAACCCAAGATAACTTAATACCTAAAAGTTACCAAAACCAATGCCGAAATCTTACAGCATTACACTGCGTCAAGTCGTTTCCCGCGTGGTTTTCTCTCCACATCTTATTACGTTATGCAACGCCATAAGCTCGCACTGTTCACGCATAGGAACAACTAGCTCTACCTCCACCTGCGGTCCCTCTGCTGAATACCATCGAATATTGTTTTATCTATGCTTAATAAATTACGCATTATGCCACGAGGACTTATAGGCTAGTGAAGGTATAACTCCACCGTGCCTAACGAAGGCACTGGATGGAGATGATTGGGCAGGTTCACGCCCCGGCCGCTTTATTCCCGGAACTCATGCTGTAGGGAGTTGGGTAGGCCCCAGAGCCGGTCTCGAGATGAGGAAAGTCTTTCGCTGGGGGGAACTGATCCCGGGCCCTCTTTCCCCCTAGCCCGTCGCTATACCGACTGAGCTATTCCGGCTCCTGCAGTAAGATACTGTTGTGTCGCTACTAAATGTTACTGTATTCTCTTTGTAACACACGCTTGGGACCGAAGTTTGAACACAGGACTGTTTCCATGACGTGGCCAGCGAGCCTCTGTACAGCCGTAGTGCATTGTACAGCGGCCGACTGAGACAGTTTCTGTCGCGAAGCTTGTGCTTTCCGCTGCCAACATCATAACGAAACACTCCACTGTCTTGTCTCTTCGAAAGTGTAAATCCCTTCGTTACATTTCATACCGGAAAACAGTGTGAATGAATTACCGAAATGTAATCAGAGTCATTTAAGCATTTCTCGAGAAAGTATGCAGTAAGTTTTCATGAGCCCATTTCAATATTCCCTATTTTTGGAGTTGGACGTTAATGCTCAGAGAGCACCGTCCTGTGATGAACAGGTTTCAAGTGTGCCCACCAGATATGAAGAGAGCGCATCCATGCATTCCGACACCAAAGAGGGACGCGTCGATACGGAGAGAAAACTTGCCAGAAAAAAAATGATTTCTTAGTCAGAAACACAGAAGAGTGTAAATCCGTCACAGTCATCTTGTGGGGGCGTCCGGACCGATCGCAGTCGGTCACAGTGCGAACAGAGAGATTCGTTCTTACTTAGGGCCGCGCCATAGCTCAAGCGGTTAGTCGCTGGCCTCCCACCGCGGTGGCCCGGGTTCGATCCCGGGTCTGGTCAAGTGGAATTTGTGATGGACAAAGTGGCGCTGGGGCAGGTTTTCTCCGAGTACTTCGGTTTCCCCTGCCAATCTTCATTCCACCAATTGCTCCACAATCCCCTCACCTATCATCATGGGGCTGGTACAATAGGCCAGAAGTGACCGCAGTACAAGGGACTTAGTCCCACCCCACTAGCAATAGAAAAATCTTTCTTACTTTTGTTGGAACCGAATCACAGGGTCAGCCAGTACATCGCTCATGTCAACCTCCCGTCCCCGCCTCAGGACTTGGGGGTGCTTCTTCTGCATGAGCCAACCCACATGAGAGAAGAACAACCCTCGACTGGCGTTGTGTGGGTCCGCGTCCGTGTCGCTAAACTTATGGTGCACCCGGTGATCTCTCACCCATTCGAAGAGCGGGTTCTGTAAAGTGTGCAGTGTGGATTGTTAGGGACGTAACGATAGCAGTACATCATTGCATGTTAAGATGTGTGGCTTAGTAAGATAAGTTGGCCGTTTCCTTGCAAGTGACGTATACGTAGGTGCCAACGATTCAACAAGTTGCCTAGGAATATTTTCCTTTTGGTACTTATTGGTAGGTGAGACTATGTTCACTTGGTACCTCGGCCACTATTTGGCCTATTATACCAGTCGTTTGATGCCAGAGTGTGGAGCAGTCGGTGGAATGCATGCATTAAAATATTTATAATTGGTTTGTTAAGACACTATTTCTAATTGGTAATCCAAGCAGGTTCGTGTGGTCCCCCTTAATATTTCTTTTATTGGGGGCCGAATGTGTACGGCCTTGTCATTCTCGAGAAGAGGATTCTGCAGATGTATTTTGGGGATATTGCATTATTTCAGCAATCCTACTGTGTTTTTATATTGTGCCGCGTATTTTTACTCCTTGTGTCTATGACGTTAGTGTGCGCTTGTATCGTACTTATGTTGTGTTATGAGATCGAAAATATTATACTGGTTGTCATTTTCCTTTTTTGTGTTTTTGTTCTTCTATCAATTTGCTGATCTCATTAACGCGATGTATATGGAAGTTTTCTTTTATATTCATGATGCTCCCTTTCATGGCGTTCTCAACCATTTCCATGATTACTGTCATCGGTCCGTACTGGTGGCGTTTGTTTAGCATATGTTGGGCAATTGCCGATTCGTCTTTATTTACTCTTATGTTTCTTATGTGATNCCAGCTGCTTAGGAATATTTTCCTTTTGGTACTTATTGGTAGGTGAGACTATGTTCACTTGGTACCTCGGCCACTATTTGGCCTATTATACCAGTCGTTTGATGCCAGAGTGTGGAGCAGTCGGTGGAATGCATGCATTAAAATATTTATAATTGGTTTGTTAAGACACTATTTCTAATTGGTAATCCAAGCAGGTTCGTGTGGTCCCCCTTAATATTTCTTTTATTGGGGGCCGAATGTGTACGGCCTTGTCATTCTCGAGAAGAGGATTCTGCAGATGTATTTTGGGGATATTGCATTATTTCAGCAATCCTACTGTGTTTTTATATTGTGCCGCGTATTTTTACTCCTTGTGTTGTCTATGACGTTAGTGTGCGCTTGTATCATACTTATGTTGTGTTATGAGATCGAAAATGTTATATTGGGTTACTGATTACTTTGTTCACAAGTATGTATGTGACCGCGTCCTGTAAAAGTCTGTCAACTCCGACCATTGTCATTCATAAATGTTTTCTTCTTTTTAATCTTTCATCCTTAACATGTATCGATCGGCGCTATCATTTTCGAAAGGACATAACAATACACGTGTAAACTGCTATTACAGTGTGATTGGTCAATATCAATACATACAGACACTGCCATTACAATTTCATGACTATAAAATATTCTCCTTCAACAACTACAGCGATGTGCCCGCATCTATTAAAATATTTATAAATTATTATAATTGGTTTATTTACAAGTAAGGTCTAAAAAACTTTGTTAAACTCTGGACCCAATTTGGTTCGTGTCCTTC